TTTTTTGTGATACAATTTATTTAAAAAAAAAAAATTACATTATTAAAATTTTAGGAGATTGACATATTTATGATACATACTGTACATTATGTTAATAAAAAAGCTATTACATAAAATCAACTTATCTCAATTAACTGTCTGAGAAAAATACGAGAGTCACTAATGATTCACAAGCAGTCAGACAATTGATAGGTTTGCACAGAAAGTGCAAGTCATTTGAGGATTCAATAATCGCAGCCGAGACAGTTATAGAATGGCTCGTGAATACGAATATGTCCAAATGTGTACAAAATGGATAATGAGAACAGAAACTAGTACGTATAAAATGATATGTGTGTACACATTTTAACATAAACCAATGAACCCTAGGATTTGAAAGATCAAATACTAAAACTGTAGTCTAATATCAAGTTGAAAGAGAAATATTTCAAAAATACCTTACACTCTCCGATGGTAGATTCAGGTAATCAATTTTGCTGCAGAATACCAGAACGCAAATTAATAGCTCGCACTTGAACACTTTTTACATTAGCGATGCCGTATTAGATTTCTAAGATCAACGATAAATGACCTCTGAATAAATTATTTAATAATGATCATTTATATCGCAACAAGTTACTCCAGCTAACGCAATTTAAATTATTCGGCATTAATATTAAATAGCACAGCCGAAGGTTCTTCTGCTACTAAACAATTTACTATAAAGTTCGTAATTGTTAATCTTCGATACATGTAAGACAACTAAATAACTGTTGATATGTGAAGTGTTCATATACGAGATGCAATTCTCCCAGATCGTCAGCTTCCTTATCGAGTAGAGATAACCATGTAACAAACATTCTCATATAGCATATACATACGTAAGTACATACACAGAAGAACGAGTATGTCGTATCTGGAGGGGATGCTGAAAGAGCCGAGCTAAACATCGCCATAACAACGGTGTACACTCGCAGCAGGAAGTATGTTGACTGCTTTTCAAACGGAATAACTTTTTTAATATTGGTCCAAATGATTTGAACTTTTTTATGCGACATAGAGACTAGTTTATAAAATTAGTTAGCTAATTCATGAAAAATTCATGTTTTATAAATTTTTTATTTGAGCCTATAACGATAATTTAAAAAAATGCGTTTTGTAGATCCGGGTGACTTATATATGCTTACTCGAAACAAATTCTTAAATGAAAAAATTTCACTCCTTTTTTTCAACTTATTTTTGTATGTACAGACATATGTATAATTCTTATGTTGTTTTTAAGATCGTTCGTTATGTAAAGTGGAATGGTTCCTATGGTTCCCATGGTTCCTATGACACTTTGTATCCCTCTAACGTGTAGAATACAGTGGAATAAAAAAGAAGTTTGACCTTGAAAATCACGTTCAAGGACATTTTTGCGGGGAGGATTTTTAACAGATCTCCATCGATCAAAGTATGTAGAGTTGGCCAGAGTGGCCCACAAAAGTATTCCTACACCTTCTAAAACGCAATAACTATTTTAAAACTGAAGTAAGTGACTTGAGTTTTTTTTTTAGATAATAGAGGGAATAGTCTGCTAGACGATGACCGGAATGATTTTTTTTTTAATTTTGCTATTACTTGGAATGATAAAAAAATAAAAATCTCTCGTTCTGTAACTATTTTATCCGAGCCTATAATGAAAATTTAAAAAATGTATTTCGTAGATCTCGGTAACTTATATGCATGTTGAAAATTTTATCGAAATCGGTTCACGTTATTACGAGTTACAACAAATTAGAGATCGCAAAAATGGCAGTTTTATCACGATTTTGACCGAAAACTGAGATCTACAGTTTTTAAAATGCTTCAACGCCTGTAGTTCAACTTTGGGTTAACCGATTTTGATCAAATTTTCAGCACACATATAACTTATCGAGATCTACAAAAGGCATTTTTTAAATTTTCGTTATGGACTCAAATAAAAAAGATAAAAGACGAGGCTTTTTAATTTTCTTTTTCATTCCAAGTAATAGCAGAATTAAAAAAAAGCTTTTCAGTCATCGTCTAATAGACTAGACCCTCTATCATCTAAAACAAATTCACGTCATTTAGTTCATTCATTTGAAAAAGTTATTGTGTTTTAAAAGGTGTACGTACACTTTTGCGGGCCACTGTATGTTGGTCACGACGAAGCTTTTCTTGAAGCCTTGAACAATTTACAGCTGTGACTCGTATCTTCGTACCTTCCAGTGATGTATGCGGAGAATCAGCGTGTCTCGAGAATTAATCGTAGCATGCAGAAAAAGCCGGATAAGTGCCTCGACTTAAACAATGGATACTGTTAGGGTGCAGATGTTGTTGCCCTACCGGGAGAGTAGATTAATTAATTCGCGAAGAAATCCGGTCGAACGAATTGGACAAAGTTGTCCGAGAGTTTATTATAAGAACAAGAATGAATGCGTCAAATGATGACTGTGATCTAACAGATAGAATGTGGTATGTTCAGAAATGAGAGCGAAGTATACAATGATTCCGAGAGTCGCGTGCGGAGCGAGGTCGAGAAAGTTACACGGAAATCGGCTGATCTTGCCAAAAAGATTGACCGCGAATTAGTAAAGATTCGCTCGGAATTTTGTTGCTGGAACCCCTTTTTACAGATCATATCGCAGAAGCCGAAAGTCGATATTGGAGCACTGGCCTGGCCTCATAAATCCGCTCCAAAGAATTACTCGCGCGAGCATAATACCGATCATACAGTGTTTCTCGTGACAATAAACGCCGAGCGATCGAACTCCATCGGTTATGGAACTTATTTGTCATTCTGGGTTAATGGTCAGAGCGGCCGTTGACCCAATCGAAGAATATGTTCCTCGCCTCTACTCGGTAGGATGAAGCTGCTAGTTCACAAGAGAATTAGCACAGTTTTAGGTAAAAGACGAGGGTCTTGAGACAAAGTTATGAAAACCGAGGGTAAAATGTTGAACTGCTGGAACGTGATGCTTTGAATTTACTGTACAAAAAATCGCGTCTAAACTGGTAACTTGAAATCGACTGATTAGCCTAAATGCTGCTGCGCATTTCGCTCGTTACGGCGTCCAGGGTAAGGATTTTACGCCCCCGAATTGCTCCTGGAAATAAATTTTCGAATATGCAAACGACGACAGTTAATGCAGAAATCAGCGAAAGGAATCCCAAGGACATCTGTACACTATTCCCGACTGCCGAGGATTAATTAAGTGGCCAGTGTCTGGTGTCAGTGATGTGAAAGTGAACTCTGTGAATTCCTTCGACCAAAATGAATCAACGAGAGGAATCCAACAGACTTTCCCTGACTGTCGAGGATTCATTAAGTAGCTATGAAAATGAACTCCGTGTTTATCATATCGATCCTATGTGAGGTCGCCATCGAACTGGGATCAATTGAACATTATGCGAGGTCAGTGCACCGATATCGTGAATCGTAATTCACATTTTTAAGTAGCAAATGTATCCTCAACTAAATGGGTAAGTTTACTATTAATAATGGTCTTCAAAATTCTTAAACAAACATATCTCCTCCATGTTTTTTAATGCAATTTATTATTGAATTAGCTTTACGAATCGTTCGTTGAATTTGGGTACGAATTATTGAAACAAAAATATCTTTTTTCGTGAGTTTGGCGGGATTTCTTATTGTTAATCTCCACAGTAATCGACTCAATTAATAATTAAAATGGCTATCACGGTCAAACTACTTACTATTTCAACTCCAAAAAAATTAGTAGATATTCTTCAAACATTCTAAGATAAGGGTGAAGAGCGTTTTTTTATAAATAAGTTCAGGCTCCGCGACTTGTCCATTGCTTCGAACGCAGCCCGAAGCCTTCGCGCTCCATGGCTAAAGCCGCGTGCCTTGCAGTTCGCGAGCTTGTCTCTCATTGGTCACTGTTTTTCGTTAATAACACTGTCCGACAAAATCAAATTTTATTTCTGGTTTCCTATAGCCACTATGAAATTTTTGTAGAGCTTCACTCCCCGAACAAGAATGCGAAATTTCACCGAATTGCTCCAACACCATCAGTTTTCGAAAAAACCGAGCTTTTGTAAAAACTCAAAATTTTCGACAAAAATGTGGTATTGCATGAAAAGTACAAACGTTAGAAAGTTCTAATTGGTCTGAAAAGGTATAGAAAAGTTTTCCGAATATAATGGCATACAATTTATTAATTGTTTTCGGTCCTAAATAACTATAAATTAATGCCAACGTTTAAAAAAGTGTCGACGCACGCAGTTCCTCCCCAATATTTTTGTATTATTACGAGGAGTAAAAATTCCCGCGGGCCCGCAGAAGGTTTCCTTGCGGTTTCCTCCGCTATACAAACGGCGAATTGACATCGCACGAATTGCAACGTCACAATATGTAGGAAAAAGTTGCTCAAAACGTTGAGCAAACGTTATAACAAATCCAACGCCCGTCAAAGTCGGAGAGGAAGAAGCTGTTCTACAGTTTCACCGAAGATAAAAGGATTTGCATTCGTTATTCGAAGTTCGGAGGTTCGTATAAAAAAGTATCTTTATTTAACAAGTATCGAATAAATAATTTTATCTACCGACAAATAAAAATACTTTTTTATTCGAAGCTCATTTATTCCTAGCGTCGAATAAAATTTTAATCTTTTATTTGTATTTTTATTCGAAGGCATCACACAAATAGTGCTTCGAATAACTTTTGCCAGCGTAAATGGTGTTGCCGAGGTTCCAGTCCCGAACGCCAAAGATTCAACGAATGACCAAAGGCATGCAATTTAAACAGATGGAAAATCATAACACATGAAATAAATTAAAATTATTGAAAAAAATTATTGAAATAAATGAAAATATGGCATAAATGAAAATTGAAACTTCTACATTTTTCAATATACTTTCATAGAATGTATCACAAATGAATTGAGGAGCTTTTTCCGATGAAAAAGACTGAAATATTTTTTTTAGTACTATCTCTTTCCAAAGTGTCATCGAAATCAGCGTGTACCACTTCGGTACATTCCTTTGTTAATGTGAGGAAATTAAGAGGGTAAAATGTCAATAGTTGGTCATCTGCATTTTGGCAATATGATAGCTCTCTTTCCCTTCCAGAAAGATCCTAGAACACTTGAGTGCGCAACACACAAAGACAGTAGACACACTGTTGACAAGGCGTCCTTAGAAGTGGAATTATGCCTGAGCAAGGCATATGCTCAGGATATGCTAGATATACAGGGTGTCCCAAAAATGTCTCGCAATCCGAAAGTAGGGGATTCCTGAGGTCATTTGAAGCAACTTTTTCCTTTGCGAAAATTTTGTCCGTGGCTTCGTTTACGAGTTATTAACGAAAGACACTGACCAGGCGAGCTCGGCTGGCGCACAGCGGCCCAGCCAACGAGTGCACGGAGCCCGGTTCTGCTCATTGGCTCGGCCATCTCGCGCCAAATGATCTCATCTCCGATTGGTCACTGTTTTTCGTGAATAACTCGTAAACGAAGCCGCGGATCGTATTTTCGCTAAGAAAAAGTTGCTTCAAATGACCTCAGGAATCCCCTACTTTCGGATTGCGAGACATTTTTGGGACACCCTGTATATGCTAGAGACTTTTGAGGTGGTATAGGAGGATAATTAATTGAATGACAATATTCACATTTTGTTGTACAACACGAAATATATATATATTAGTAGCAAGACTTTACAAAATATACAATGCCATTGTGATAAAATAAGGAAGGCTATTTATTTCTGTCCTGTTAAGCAACGGCAATTAAATGCCTGCGGAAAAT